ATTCGTGCTTTTAATCAACTGTAAGCAGATTTAAATAAAGAATTTGAATTTAAACATTAACGTGAGCTCCTGTATCTATGATAAATATGTCTTTGCTTTTATTTACTTGTGAGATTTGAAGCCTTAATATTGGCGCATTTACCATTATTTCTTGCCATGGACACTCGGGTGATTGCACAAGTTAGTTCGTCAGTTGACGCTGATTTAAGTCTTTGCTCGCTGCTGTGTCTGGGCAATGAGCTCCTGTTTAAAGGATGGTTTAGTTAAGGAGAATTTAGTCTAATATTTTGTTAATTACTAAAATAATTTGACCTTGAGCAAAAGCTTACGTCGTTTCGTGATTCTCGTACACGGAGGAATGTACATACCATATAAAGTTGTAACTGAAACGATGAGGATGAAAAAATAACACACTAGCCCCTTATTTCATACAAGTAGTCACATACATTCTAAGACTGTCCTAGATTATATTAAAAACAGCTGATGAGTCGATTTTATACTTATGCCAGCTCAAGTATTTCAGCGACGTTGGTACAGGATTTTTCGGTACCACAGTGAGTCTTGATATTTCGTATACTGCGCATGTCTTTTTACAATGTGCATCGCGCGCAGCGTATTTGTATTTCAGTTTACCAAATATACTGAACTACACACCTCTAGCTTTTAGCGCACTCGCGTATACGCATGCGTATGTATATAAATGTACATATATCTATTTGTATACTATTATCTATTATAATCTATTATAATGTATACTAATATCTATTATCTATACATTATACATGCGGGAGTTCTGCTTTCGCATGGCCGAGTCAGATCTTATCTGGTACAGGAAAAATCCGTACCCCTCATCAGATTTTGTAGTACTGAGCATAAGATATAGTTCGACTCAACGTAGTACATTAAATTATACTACCAGTACAGACTACATTAGCACTAGAATCTGATTTTATTATAATAGACTACAGAAAAGAGTTGAACTATTGTATAGTACGGGTTTTCATGGTATGTACATTCCTCGGTGTAGTGTTTGAACATTTTTGCAAGTGCAGAGATAATTTTCTGTTAGAGTAGTAGACGAGTTGCTAAATACACGCTATAGTTAAATTTTGTGTAAGAGGCAATTCAATTTTGCAGATTGATCAGTAAAGTCATTATTTCAATAATGAAGGACTGAGTATGACACTATTCTTCTTTCTCAAATAAATGTTGTAGGGACAATTTTAGTCTCATATGGATTGTAATCATAAGATATATGATCGTGATTGTATATGTTGGGATCGTTAAATGTTGTTTTCATTAAGATAAAAGTATCAGAAATGTTCTGGTCTGTTTTAATGGTGTACTGATAAATGTAATCTTGCTGTAGGGTGCTAAGCAAGGTACATATTTGGATATTAATGGTTCATGGTAGTGCAAGTATTGAAATTTAACATTTACCAAACTTCTTTAGCTTCTAAAGCTACTTTTAAATCGCCAGCAAAAGTTTTTGGTACGTTTGACATTATCTTGCCCTTGAATTTATCGGGCAGGCATCGCATGAATGCTTTACGGTCAACCATTTCTAGATGTTATTTTAAATCAGGCTGTGAATGTTTAGAAATGTTGTTGGAAGCAGTCTCTATTTTTGCTGCCTTAGCTCCTTTATCTTTTTAATTAGTTAGGAGATTCTTACGTGAAAATCAACAGTTTTTCCTTGTTTCATTTCAGAATTATTAATGTTCGTAATCAATCAATCATAAATTTTAGAGGCAGCAAAGTATGCCTTGAAACAGTTTAGGAGATTGTCTAATGTAATGATGTTAATCGGCCTTGGCAACTTCTTGCTCTCTTCTTTAGCCTGGAAATGACTGTTTTTAAAAACATGCCTTCTTCTGCATTTAAGACAAGAGGCCTATTGTTTTCAATATCTTGTAAGAAGTGCTTGAGTGGTGTATTTTGGTCACTATAAATATGTATGTGTAGGGCAACTTGATTGATACGTAAAGCTGATTTATTGAGGGCTACATTATGTGACAATTCAAGGCATTTAAGTGATTTTTCGAAATAAAACAAAAAACTTAGTATCCCACAAGGAATGCCGATTTGTTACGTTCGAACTTTTAAGTGAATGGTGAAACTCGTGGATTTATTCCACAAACAATTTAATTTAATTTTTATTCGTCCGGAACAAGCCGTCAAACTGTCCAAAGGCCTTATTTTCCCTAACTAACAGTATACTTTTCTTTAAAATTCTTTCAAATCGTTGACTTGGCGTTGTTATGTTAGGTTTCACTGCATGGTATAAATGGCGTAGTATTAATGTATCATACGCTGAGCTAAAATTGACCTACTGCTTAAATTTCTATCTTATGTATAATGCAGTAGTTGCGTATCTTATTTGTCTCGTTATATCAAGTACATATTCGTTCTTGTAAAGGTCTGTGTCAGACGTTGTCTGTTTAATTTTTGCTTAGTATTCCATTCATTCATCAAAGCTTAAATTATGATTCTATAAACTAGAATTCTTGAATTTTGGAATTTTTGAATCAGGAATATAATTTCAACTAACAACCAAATTATATCTTATCTGATGGTTAAATAAGTTGGGTGAAGCTGGAAATAATCAGTTTTCAGAAACAATGTTAATTATAAAGTCTAAAGTTCACGTTTACAGTGTTTAAACAATTTGCAGTTCTTCTTAAATGAACTTACTTCTATAATAGTTGTTTATCTGCTGATTTCGTGCACGTAGTCACAAGATCTTACAAGCTTGAGCGCAACAATAATTCTAATCCTTCACGAGAGTACTCGTGGTGATAATAATCATGAGGTTCATGATTTTAACGTTAGAACCTGAGTCCACGGCCCTTTTTTATTGTTTCTTCTCGATTTATTTTTAAGGTAAGTTCACTGGGGCCTTGTTTGTTCGAGATTTTTTTACATAGCTTTATCACCGAAGTAACTCTTACATTTTCTTGAAATGCACGCTTACACGTAACTTAATAACCGAACTAGGTCTTAAATTTTCTTAAAAAACGCAACAGAATTTTCTTTTGAACCTTTAAAGTCACTTTAGAATACTTTATTAAAGAGAAAAGGCAAATACTGGTATGTGCAAAAAGTTTTTAAACTCTGGCGTTAGGAAGAAAACGTCCAGTTGGGGTCCGAACGACTAATCAGAGCTTAACCCAGTTACTCTCCATTCACATGAGCACAGTCGTGGCGTTATACTTTTACAGTAATTAATGGTTAAAACTGCTGATCTCTTAGATTTCACAGTAGGTATAAGATATTGTCGAAATTGTGTACGATACTTCTTGAGGATATACATAATAAAGAATATTGAATTTTTTGATTGTGCTCATTCTTGGATATGGTAGTGCGAATTGACGTTGTAAGATAAGATCTTTTGAAGATTGTTTGAAGAGTGTACGCGTACTATGACGGCAGTTTATTTTAAAAGGAGTAAGCTATAATTTTTGCCATTGCAGAAGCAGATGTAGAGCTCGATGTTAAAAGGTCGCTGAGTATTCGCTTTTTACAATTTTAGAACAAAGCTCTATGTTTTGAAGTAATACATATTGCGTACATGACATGGAATATCTCACTGTTACTACTTTTTTCTACAGTAATCAATAATTGTGTCTCTAACAATAACTTGTATGTTGCTTTTTGATAATTCATCGAAAAATGTGAGATTTTGTCAATCTTACTCATGACAAAAAGAAGTTTTTTTGTATAAGTTTCTGCAATGTAAGAAGTATTGTATTAAATATTTATCAATCTGCGTAACTCTTTTGTAAATAACAAGAATATAAATATATTTCAGCCTAGCGATTACAAGTTGATGTTTCAAACTCAATGGATATAATTACTTTTAGTTATAAATGGTATTTTATAACAAATTACTAACACGAACCTTAAAGTAACTGAATTTAGGTATAAGACAGTGCAAAACTTTAAACCTTTTAAAACTTAAAAACTCAATTTACAGCGTAAATTAAATTGTAAAGTATATCTGTACTCATTGCCTCTTTTATCTACATGGCTGCATTCGAGCTACTGTGCTTTGAGTACGCTTCTCACAACCCGGAGCTGTACGTCCTTCTTAAAATTGAGTACAACCTTGAAGTGATCTTAGAACTTATAGTCACAGCATCATCAGTTTTTTGTCAGAGTTTTATAGTCATTCCTTATTGAAGTGCCACAAGTAATTCGAGCCAGTCTTGCTTGAATGCGAAAAAAAGTGCACCACTTAAACATCTACCAATTTTTTCTATCCAAACGGGTTTGCTACATTGCTACAAAGTTACTGTGTTTATATCTTTATTTGATAGATTTTGTGCGTTTGGTTGTGATTGAAGCGCGTATAAGCAATAAGTTTGATTTTTTAAGTATCTGCTTACTGATTAGTGCGTAATAAAAATTTTTAAATAATTGCACATAAATGACGAGGACTTGTGTAGTACTTTCATCACAATTTTTCTTAACTGTTGAATCATAATGATATGCTTAGAGTAAGTTTTAAAGAGATTGAAGTATTTAAAGAGAAATGACTTAAGGGATTTAGTCAGTTGTCTTAAAGATGCCTTATTTCAACAGATAAGATAAGAAATTGTTACAGCTTAGTTTGCCTTGTAAAAACATAATTCTGAGATGAATTTAGTCTCAATTGTGTCTCAATACTCAAAAGCAAAGTTAATAATTGTAAAAAAATTATAACTGATACTTTGCTGCTTGAGCACTCTACTTCTTTAATAAATTATTTAAATGAGTATACATTGTTGATTTAATAGATACATGTACAAAATCCTTCTAAGTGCAACGAATCTTACAGTTTCAGAATTTTGTACTAAATATATTACTTCTACAAATTACTTTTGTTCTATGATTTGATTTTTTTTAGTATTGGACTACAGAAAATAATTAAAAAAGTATTATCATCAAGAGAAAGTTTAATCTAATTTTTTTAACTAACCTAATAATAAATTTGGTTCTCATACAAACTCACTTTTCAGATTAGTGGTAGCAAGCTATGACATTGTCCGAAGGGATATAGATTTTTTTCAAGCAATTCAATGGAACTACTGTGTATTGGATGAAGGACATATAATCAAAAATGGAAAAACGAAAAATGCTAAAGCAATAAAAAAACTACACGCTCATCACAGGTTAATTCTTTCTGGTACTCCAATACAGAACAATGTCTTAGAACTTTGGTCACTCTTTGATTTTCTTATGCCTGGATTTCTTGGTAGTGAAAAACAATTTTCTCTTAAGTACTCAAAACCAATCTTAGCTTCTAGAGAACCTAAAGCTAGTGCGAAGGAGCAGGAAGCTGGTGCCTTAGCTATGGAGGCTCTTCACAGACAAGTAATTTTATTTTATACTGTATTTTAAAATAATTATGTTTTAATTTTTTTCTTTTTTAATGCAGTCGATTACTGTTAAAGAAGTAAAACGATGGTCATCGTGAATGTATTATCTGTAGATTATTCTGCAGTACCCTACATAACATCGTACATTAGCTTTTGCTTTAACCTCTATTATACAACCGTTTAACGTGCACTTAAATGTGACCTTTTGTTTATAAGAAAAATTCATGTATGTTACAAGGTAATGCAATCTATCGCAGGTAGAGAACATAGTATTCTCAACTGGCAGTCTAAGTCTTTTTTTGTACGTCACTACATTCAGACATGCAAGGATAGAGCTAAATAAAGATTATAGTTATAATAAGTTACTCTTTATAGAATATCCTTTCATTCCTATGGAATTTTTTTTTTATATCTTTTTTTTTATAACTAATAAAAATCATTTCAACCTTGCACAAATCCAATAATCTGCTCATAAATCACGCGTAGGAATCCAGATAATCTATGCGCAAAGATTCTTAGCAAATATATATAACCGATATTGTTCAGAGGAATAGCGTACATTACGCTGGCGAATCGGCTATAACAGTCACTCACAAGCAAGGAAACGAATTCTTCTCCAGCGAGCCTGGGATGCGAAAATCTGCTACATACTCAGATCTGAAAGTCTCTCGCAAATCAGTATACACTGCGTGTATTACTAATACTAATTGATGTCTACTTCGATCTTCAGTACTCGATCGCTTATGGCATGATAACGATGTACCCACAAGTTGTTGATACACTAGGGATACCGTTAACGTTTCTCAGAGGAAGCATCTTGGTCGATGAATTTAGTAGTGCTTGAGACACCTAAAGGGCCTTGAGAATGACCTAATCCTACGTGACTTTTCGTGATAAGTATATGTTCTATCACTAACATTCCATGACTGTGCTAATACTTTGCCCTAGTCTAACCACTTGTCTGTAGAAGATAACTTAAGTGCAAAAGAATTAGGAATTATTTTGTTTTATACACAAATATATTTGTAGTCTGTGGGGGAAAATTAAAGTTAGAACTCAAATTTCATTTTTATACCGAAGCGTCAATTTCAAACCATCTGTAAGTTTTGTAAATTCTTTCAAATATAATAAATAAAATTAGTCGCTATGTATAAATTGTACCAATGATCTCAATAAATATAACTGACTGATAAAGTGATTAATATACAGTTTTCTTATTGTCCAACCAAAATCAGGTGAAATAAATCCAAGAAAGAACAAACTTAGACAATTGCCAAGTGTGCTTATTTGATAAAACCTACTGTTGATTGCAAATTATAATTTTACGTTTAGTATATTTAAAAATTCGATTTAAAGTTGACAAAATATTTTTTACGTAATTTTTATTTTGCGTTTGGTTAGAAATTTTTATTTATTCAAAATTTTGAGTTCGTGAAGTAAAAAATTCTACTTTTTAATCAGAATTATAA